GCTCGGACGCTCTTGCAAGGGGGTGCTTCGACCTTCCGGCCTGAGGTGTTCAGACCACTCTTCGCTTGAGACTCCCTCGCACAGCTGACTTCGGAGATGCCCTGCCCCATAGTGCCCAGGCCAGTTTCGCCTGATACATCCTCGCAACGCCAACCTCGGATACGCCATGCCGCGAAGCAATGAGACACGTAGCACTCCGACACGTTCACAAGGCCTCCAGATGTTTCCCAAAGGTTCTGGCGGCGCCCGTCGTTGAGTCCCTCTCAGGTCCTCCTGTCTTTCAACGCTCTCGGAGGCCAGCCCCCAGCGTCTTGCATCCGCGTCAGTTCCAGCCTCCATGCCATGACTTCCGATCCTGAGCGTTCGTGCCTGCCTGTCCTCGGGTCCGCGGGACTCCTCCCATTACTCTTTCCCTTCGTCTTCCTCCCTCCCACTATCGGCTGAGACATCCTCGCAACTCTGACCCCAGAGAAGACCTGCCCCAAGGTTGTCCGGCCACTTCCCGTCGCCATTTTGGCTCAAGCCAATACGGCTCAAGACAATAGTGATTTTCAACCAAGGTCGTTGGGGCTAGAGAGAGGCCTTGAGTGCATGAGCAACTCCGGCGTGGGGGCCACTGCCACTGGCACGAGGCAAGCTGTGAATATGGACCACGCGCGAAGCCCACGCTCGGCTCTCATGGGCGAGGGCGTGAATTACAGCGCTCAACTGCCATGCGCAAGCACCATGCTTACGCTCGCAGGCCTAGAGATTGACACCAACACCAATATCGGCGGTGTTCCTCCACCGAGGGAAGAAAGATCCCGATCTCGGTGATGGTGGTAATATTCTGGCTTCCAAGGCGGCCGAAATATTACCACCAACACCGAAATCGAGGACCATCTCCCCCCTGTGGAGGCAGCCCCCCGTCTTCGTGTTGGTGCCCATTTCCAGGCCTCCAATACGCACCATGCCCAACCCTTTTTACTTGGACCGGCGCACGTTGACTGTGAGCCATGCTTGCTGCAGTGCGCAATACCGGTTGGTCAAGAATGGGCCATGCGCGAGGCAGGCGACGTTATCGGAGGAAGCCGTGGGCGGTTCGCGAGGGCGTCTGCTACTCTAGCGATTCTGGCGCTGCTGTGTTGCGCCGTCGTCACAGGCTTGGTTTGCGCCCGGGGTGCAGCGTCCGTCGGGTCTGGAGACGCAAACCACATGTCGCTTGCAGGGTTTTATACTTCGAGTAGTTCAAGCAATGCGTCCATTGACGGAGATATCCGAATACAGATTTGGCTCTTGCTTCCACGTCCAGATTTCGACAAGGGTCTTTTGTTTTATCATCCTGCTCTGGTAAGCTTCAAAGATGGTTTCACCGCCATGGGAGCGAACGTGAGAATTGTCGGTCGTTCGGACTTCGAGCTCATCAAGGCGCACCTCGCATCCACATCAGCACTATCGGAATCGCATTGGATTGTGATTTTCCCTCACGATGGCGAGGATGCTTCGTGGCTTCAACTGCAAGAGTGTCGCAAACGTGGCGCGCGACTGGTTGTCTACAATACGGAACCAGGCTATCCTGGCCAATCCCAGAGCATTACCCAGCTTGTCAGCGACCTCGGCGCAGCTGAGATTTGGGAGTACTCGCAAAAGAATACGCTGTGTTATCACAGCACCACTCCTGCAATTGCACGGTATGTTCCACCTCATTGCACTCATTCCTTGGATTACGGTATTGATCTGCACGGCGGCCTAGTACAGAAGATTAATTCGACATGCGTCCTTCAAACCAAAAGCACCCGGGATTCCACGGTCATGGATGCAGTGGCTGAGTTTTTTGTCCAAGGTTCATTGCAAGAGCTGGAGGTCAACCCAGCCAACGCAACATTCTCGACCATGAGAAACGCGTTCATAGATTGTGCGATTGGTCTAGATTTGCATGCGTTGGGCGGCGACCTATCTGTAGGACAAATGGAGTCGTTCCGCATGGCCCTGCTTCTTTCAAACAAGATGTGTGTGGTGTCCGAGGGACTTGACCCAGTGGAGATGCCGATCTGGGACGGCCTCGTGCAGATGCCAGGTGTTTGGAAGCCAGATATGGAGTCAAGACTTGCAGGTTTGAAGCAGTTATTCTTGCTAATACAAGAGCTCAGGGAGGACCCCGTAAAGCTGGGTGAGTGCAGACGAAAATCGCATGAGCTGTACAAACAGCATTTCTCCAGCGAGCAGATGTTTTCGAATGCAGGTATAAACGCCACGATGTTGAGGAACCGTCTCAACAGGAGTCTCATCATCACCGGAGCCGAAGTTTTCCGAGCGTTCGCAGAAAGTCTTGGGCGTAGCTCTTGATACGTGGGAGGGCTTGCAAATCAAAGTGTTTTCAACCAGTGTGGTCAGGGCCTGTATACGTTCGATGCTTCGGGGCAGGGCTCGCCAGTAAGCTGGCGCCCCTTCCAGACAAATACTTTATCACGTTGGCCGAATGTGATGATACTGCAATAGAGTCGCAATGTAGATTCAGTATCATGGCCACGCTGGTAAGACCCAGCGGTATGACCTCGCACTGCGAGAACGTTGCTACATTCAGCAGTTGTGGTCATCATGTGTTCCCCCGCCTTGGGGTGCCGCGCAGAGTCCAACCTGTGACCCCAGGGGGCTCGACACCACGCGTACGTACGCTGGTGTTTCTGAGCACGTCAGCTCCTGGGATCATGTTATCACGGATACCTCCCAGCAGCCGTTTTCTTTGTACTATTGACGTGCCTCCCTGTCCCGCCGCCATGGCCCTCGACTAGCGTGACCTTCCCCGTGAGAGGGTCACTCCAACGACCGGCTCTGCGACCCAGCGCCAGGCCTAGGGCCCCAGAAACCAGGACGTCGCAATCCAGGATTTTGGGGCAACCTCCCCAGAGAAAGCGCAACGACCGGCGCTGCGACCCAGCGCCATCTTCAGGGCTTCAGAAACCAGGCCATCGCTACCTGGAGTTTGGGGCGTCCTCCCTGGAGAAAGCGAATCATGGAGGACGCCTCGAGCCATGACTGCAGTCCTTTTGTTCGATCATCAGAGCCCCCGTTTGCGGGGGACTTGACATCCCGCCAGTCTCCCCGCCCCAAATGTTTGATCCCACCGCGCGAGAGCGGGTCGGCCTCGGGCTCACTGGCGGAGCCGTCTGTGGCACTCCTCCATTTATCGCTCCACCTCCTCCTCCTCCTCTTACTCCGCCTTCTCTGCCTCTCTCTCCTCTGCCTCCTCCTCCTGCCTTCCATCCCTCTCTTGATTCTGCCGAGCCCACGCCGCCATCTCCTTCGTTGTGCTGAGCTGATTCTGACAGCACGCTGAAAAAAAAGGCTGTCTGGCCACTTCCGCTTGAGACCTTCTCGCAATTTTGGGTTCCGGGGTTCCCTGAGCTGAGGTGTTCTGGCCACTTTCACTAGAAACATCCTCGCAATTGTGGATTCCGAGATGCCCTGCCGCAGAGTAGTCCGCCACTTTCACCTGAGACATCCTCGCGACTTTGGATTCAGTGATGCCCTGAGCTGAGGTGTTCAGGCCATTTTCGTTTGAGACATCCTCGCGATTCCGGGTTCGGGTATGTCCTCAGCTGAGGTGGTCAGTTCACTTTCGCTTGAAACATCCTCGCAATGCTGACATCGGAGATGCATTGCCCCGTAGTGGTCTGGCTACTTTCGCCTGAGACCCTCGCACCTCTGAGTTGCGAGATGCCCTGAGCAGGCGGTCGGGCCATTACCGCCTGAGATACGCATTTTTATGCGCACCCATAATTGCATATAGGTGCGTGCACCAACCAACACCTGCGATTAACATATACATATTCATATACATACACATGTTTATATGTAATACGTATACACAAATACAACAGTATACATGTGGTATACACATAGATAGATGTGCAGAGCGTGCACGCGCGTGTATACATGCATGCGCGCATGTACGCACGCACGCACCCCGCTTGCGTGCGAAACTCAGAGGACCAAGGTGCATGGCGCGCAGCGCCAATGCAGCCTTGTGTGTATATAGTGGCCTTCGGCCCATCCCGCTACCATGCCTTGGTTGTCGGCCTGAGATCCTTGGTGCCTGGGTTGCGGGTTAGAAGTTACATGCCTCAAGTGGTAGTTGGGGTTTCTTCTGAGCTTCTTGGGGGCCTCTTGGGTGGCATTTTGGGGGCCTCTTGGGGCCTCTTGGGGGGCCTCTTGGGGGCCTCATGGGCCCTGTTGGGCGCCTCTTGGCCCCCCTGGGCCCCTGTGGCCGCTTTGGGGTGGAAGGATTGGATTGTTGGTTCAGGCTCCCCTTCTTGGGCCCCTCTTTGGGCCGTCTTGGGGTACTCTTGGGCCGTTTTGGGAGCCTCTTGGGCCGTCTTGGCGCCCCCTTGGGCCGTTTCAGCGCCTCTTGGGAGCCTCTTGGGCCGTTTTGGGGCGGTCTTGGGGGACTCTGGGGCCGTCTTCAACGCCGTGAAGGCCGAAAAGTCGTGTATGATAAACATGTACGCTTTCCCATAGGAATTATACGATTTTGGGGCGTCTCGGGGGGCCTCTTGGGCCGTCGTGGGGGCTGCTTGGAGCCTTCTGAGGCCTCGTGGGGCCTGATGGCACCCATGCCCCCTACCCCCAACCCACCCCCTCCAAGCCGGCCGGACCGGGCTCCCGGGGGAGGGTTTGGGGAGGGGGAAGCATCTCACACGCCGTGACCCCAAGGGGTCGGCGGATTGGCAAAGGGGTGGGTGGGCGGGAGGAGCGAGGGGGGAGGGGGCAGAAGGGCCTGGGGGGTTGAAGGGCGGGGGAGAGGTGGAGAGTTCGAGGGTAGCGGGAGAGGGGAGGAGGGATGGGGGTGTGATGGCAATGAAGAACGAGGAGGAGGAGGAGGAGGAGGAGGAGGAGGAGGAGGAGCAGGAGGAGGAGCAGGAGGAGGAGCAGGAGGAGGAGGAAGGGGAGTGCACGAGGAAGAGAGAGCGAGAGAGAGAGAGAGGTGTGGAATGAGGAGGGTCTTAATGCGAGAAACCGAGGAGTAGAATGTTCCAGTCCGTGGTCCTTGGCGTGATAATGCTGAACATGCTGTTCCTGGCAGCAGCTGTCAATTACGAGATCGCCAGTGGACGAGATCTGACGGCGGATAACCAGCTAGCTTTCGTTGTGAAGTCAGGGGCTGTAGTTGAGCGCGCCGACATGCAGTTGATGTGCGACGCTGATTCTGGCAAATTGCCTGTAGCCCGTGCTCTCCCCCTCCAACTCCCCAGTTCCTCCCCCCCTCCTCCGATAGTTGACTGATTGCATGTAGGGTGTGAGCTGGCTGTGAGTGGGCCGCGAGTTGAGCGAAAGTCTGTAAGTAGCTGATCCACGGGTTCTCACGTGTAGCTGTGTATGGCGACGGCGTCATGATTCCCATTCGTTGTCCCTTTGCAAGTTATAAATGAACGGAGGAGGCCTCGGAAGAGGGAGAGCAGCAGCATGAGGAGGTGCGAAGGAACCGATGGAGTCAGGGCGAAGGAGGAGGAGGAGGAGGA